AACTGATAAAATTGTTATTTCCCGATCATAATTTAAGATAGGAGAATTATAACGCCTTGTACGTTTAATAAAGATTTCCGCTTGGTCTATCGCCTTTGAAATCAAGCCGCGCTTATGCCGGCTTTGGTACTATAGTTTTATTATAAGCAATTTCGGTAAATATTTTTGTATATAAATTGATCTCTATTGTCACTAATGTTTTTCAGTCGTAATCAAATTAAGGGGAATCGATAAAAAAGGGGAATCATCGGAAATGCGTTCTATAATTCGCGATCGAATTGATCTGTATGCATCTTAAGATATTCATTTCTCAGATTTTTTACGTCCAAAACTTGTCCCCCTTTGTGACTAATAACGATCCAGGATTTTATTAGTCATTTTTATTTACCATGTTTACTTCAGAAGCCGTAAGACCTTGATGTTTAAAGGATGAGTGCTGTGGACATTCATTGTTATTTTAAGTCGGAGGTGATAAAAAATTATGTATAAAAATAATTTCGGGGCAAATAACACAGATTTATAAGAGCAGATTTTCTTTACATTATTTCCTTTTGTCGCTGGCCTCTTTCTTTACACTATCGATGATTTGGTTCATGGTCGTTAAAGAAAATTTTATTTAATTATAAAAATGAAATAAAAACAATTTAAACGCTTGGCACTGGTGAAACTTGTGTAGGAGAAATTCGTATATGCTCTGATGATATCAGTCCTAAGGCAGTCAATAGGATATTTTTTAATTTCGAACGAACTATTAAAATCAGTAGAGATTACAGTATAATGCAAATACAAAAATTTCATTTGTGTTACCTTAATCTATTATAATTTTATGTATTTGGCACCCACTTTTGAGTAATATTGACTTATAGTCTTATTGACCTGTATTAAATGGATATATTACGCGTTAGGGCAATCCTCGCTGGGGATTACGGATACCGTAGATTATCGCGAGTTTTGCCATTTTTTATATTTGTTACAAGTAAAAATCGAGTGTTTAGGAAGTAATATGTTCTATAGCATATGGTCATCTATGTCCGCATTCCCCGAAAGGATTGAATAGTGTGACCTCTTCTAATTGAAATCGGACGCGACTGGATAGCGGCGCAAACGCGATCGGCCCGACGCAGTCAGCGGCAGGTAGAATTTCGAGGGGCCCATTAACATTATACGGCCAATTGTACGAGCCCGATCCGGCGTAGGTAAATGATGACGTCGCGTTTTGAATGGATAATGCGCGCATTTTTATGCGATAAAAGCGTATAAAGGCCCAGCGCGGCGGGCGATTCGCCGCTTTGTTTGCGGGCATTTTTCACGGTATCGCAAGGTGTTGAACGTTTTTTGTTGGCGCACCGCTTTTGCCGCTCCCGTGTTGGCTAATTGTTTCCAGTTGTGTCGACAAGTCGCGACACGCCGCGGATCTCCAGTGCACGGATTTCGGCCCCCGGATTTTATTGTTCAGCAATAAAGTTTACTCGTCGGTTGACCGGTAGAGAACGCCTAATGGTGTTAGGTCCGCCATTGAACGCTATTGTGCAGAAAGTTTTTAAATGAATAAATAAATCCCTTTTCGGGAGGTTTTGATTGCCGCGCGGTGTGGTTGCATTTTATCTTAACGTTCACACGGAATAGACCCGCTCGATAATAGAGTCGATCTGCTAATAGCCCACCGCCGCCGTTTTGACGTGTTAAATTCTGAATAGTTCAACGTTTTTTGCGTTTTAATACCAGGATGTTTTTCTCAAAAATAAGTTTATTTACATGTTAAATTGGGTGGAGATTAAGTATATATTTAAAACATTTCTCGAGATGTTCAAAATTTTAATGACGATACCATTTAGTCAAACATAAAAAAACATTTTTCAGAGTCGCGTTTAGAACGTTATTCAAATGCAACAGAATTAATTCCATACGCGAATAACCTTACAGAATGTGAATTTTATGCACTTTTGCAACCAAAAATTGTGAAGGTATGCGCGAACGCACTTACATACAATAGACTTAAACGCGCACGTTTCATTCCGGAGGCTCTTGTCACTTGTGGGATTTAAATGATTTCCCGTGCCTCATATTTTTTCTTATAAAACGTCGCATTTCATTGAAAAAATCTCAATGTACTTGAAGTGTATTTCATTTTGTTTTAATTGAAAAGTCTTAGGTGATATGTTTATGGTGGTGTGTTGAGTTCTCTAACAAGTCCATGTCATTGTAAGGCATGACACATTATTCGTAATCATGAAAGATGACGAACTTTAAAACGGATTATTAAAACACGTCGCTTTTTTAACATTTAAAGAAAATTACTCGGCTTGCTTATATAACGAAATATCTGTCACATAAATGTACTTATTAATTTATAAAAAGAAAAACAACAAAATTGTGTTACGTACTAAAAGTTATAAGTACGTACATTTAAATCTTGTATTCCGAATATAACATTAATACCCGATATACTATGACATTATCAACACTTTTGAGTTGATGATAAATTCTTGGGATTTAAGATAATACCAGCTATCTATCTACACCATTTGGTTTATAGTTGTGAAGGAGTATATTCTATATTATATAAGATTTTATATGTATTAAATGTCAATAAATATTAAAGACAATCTTTATTGATCTAATATTTACAAGATTCTGCTGTCGGCGTTCAGCAGGGAGATCCGCTAGGACCAGCATTATTTAGTTTGGGAATTAATCCAATTATTTCAAAATTGAAATCTAAACTAAACTAATGTCTGGTACCTAGACGATGGTACTGTGGGAGGTAAAGTTGACGATGTACAAAGTGATCTTATTGAAATTATTAGACAATTTAAAAATATCGGTCTCGATTTAAATAATTTCAAATGCAAACTGTTCTTTTCCGAAAAGATTTCTTTTTCCGACAAAATCATTTTGACCCAAAATTTTAGCTCTATCATACCGGGAATTAACGTAGTTCGTTCAGATTCACTTTACCTCTTAGGTGCTCCTTTGTTGATACCAATTTGTCACCGATTTGTCAACCACACCAATGCCCTTGTGGTGTCAGTGTAGACAAATTTGGTCTCCACGGGCTTTCTTGTTAAAAAAGTGCTGGCCGTTTTTCTCGCCACGGTTCCCTGAACGACATCATCCGTAGGGCTCTTGTTTCCATCAATGTTCCATCTATTTTAGAGCCCTGCGGCATTTTACGCGACGATGGTAAGAGACCCGACGGTTTAACATTGATCCTTTGGGAGAGAGGCAAAGCCCTTGTTTGGGACGCCACTTGTGTAGACACTTTGGCCGCCTCTCATCTAAGGGGTACTTCGGTCAGGGCCGGGGCGGCATCGGAGGCAGCTGAAGTAAGTAAATGGCGCAAATATGAGTCTTTATGTTCAGATTATGTATTTGTGCCATTTGCTGTTGAAACATTAGGTCCGTGGGGTCCCCGCACATCAAATTTTTTTAAAAGTTTATGTCCTAGGCTTAACGCCGCGGCTGGTGACAAGAGAGCTGATTCTTTTCTCGCGCAAAGGTTAAGCATAACTATTCAGCGAGGAAATGCAGCTAGCGTTCTTGGCACCATGCCGCGTGGATTAGGTTTATTAGATAATATGTAATTTTAGATAGATTTAATCTTGTAAATATTAGATCAATAAAGATTGTCTTTAATATTTATTTACATTTAATACAAATTATAAGATACTAAAAAAAAGATTTTATATTATATATTACACTAGACTACACATTAATACAAAGTGTGTAATATTTAGTTTGTCAATATTCCGAGCCGGGAATCCAGAAAAACATTTACCGACAAAGTGGCTATTTCATTGTACGTTATAAATGAAATAAAATTGAACATGGCGCCTTCCGTTGGGGCCCTTAGAAGTTTTTTTGACGCGAAATATTTGTCAATAATAAATGAGACGTCCCTTTTATTACCAGCATTCATAGGCTGTAGTGTATTTTGGGGCCATATAAATAAATTAGGGACTTAAGGAATGAAATGCGAGCGGAAATCCATACCTATCAGTAGTTTTTACTAGTTTAAGATGTATCATATAAAAGTATTTTACAAACATGTTAAAAAATTTCCTGAGTATGTTTGTATTATTCCGTTTATAATAATTTAAGATAATGTAAATAGGAAACGTAGCTTAAGGTGTTTTAGTTTTAATTACCATCGATTTCTAATGCCTAAAAATGATATTTTTTTATTTTAATTTCATAACTGGAGTCATTAATAGGAAATATTTTTGTATTTATATAAATAATACACATTGCTCAATGAAAACCATTTGATGGACAAACTCTATACTTTACATTGACCGACGGTTATTAAATTTAAAACCACATCTGATAATAAAATCCGAAGTTATAGTTTAATAAAAAAATAGTTTGGCTTTAAGCATTCTTTAACAAAATAAATGTCTATTTTTTTTGTTATAAAATATAATAATGATTTATGTTTTTCTAAAATTTATAATAATACTTTCTATTTTATATAAAGTATTATTAAGTTTATTAAGTTAGGCGGCGCCTTGATCATTTATCATTAAAATAGAAGGATTCAAATGTTATTTGTAATTAATATTATTTAGTTTGGAATTAATTAAATTGGAGTATGTAACAATTACTATGAAAAAAACAAAGAGAAATAACATAACAGTGTTTGAGAGTAGCTTAATAATAAATGGAAAAAAAAATTATAAAATTGCAATTAATTTATATTTATATTTAAAAAAGCCCAAGTTCATTCAGCTGGCGCGTGTTAGGACGATACTGAGCAGTCACTGAGAGCCGAATCGAGGAGCATGACGCTTTTTCCTTACGTGATGATTTCTGCCTGCTCACACCTCCAACCGCATTGAGGAACATCCTTCAAAAATAAATACATTCCTCTCCCGCTACCGCCTGTCGCTAAGAGCGCTATGTGAAGGCGCTCGCCCGGCACAATGCATCGCGGCGGGCGGCGAAACTGCGGCCTCAATGGGCCCCTACCTGGATTATCAGCCGAGTGATAAATTAAAAATATGGCATTTGAGCGGCGTTCATCATCGCATCGGGTCATTGCGACCGTGGGCGCTATTGTCTACGGCACCGGCGTTGTCTATGCGGTCCGCGTGCCTCTTTACTTGGAACTGCCTCGCAGCTCGGGTTCCTAGTTACCATGGCAACGCGAATACTGTCACGATACTCCATAAAATAGACTGGCACTGAACTTCCTAATGTGTTGTCCGCACACGATGTGATTGATTTCGCCTTGAAATGGAAACTAAATAAAGAAATGAGGCATATTTCATTTAACGTGAGCATATTTTGTTTAATGCTGTAAAAATCAGTAGGTATCAACAATTTAAATAAATATGTGATATAACAAAAATACTTAACACATTTTACCATACAGTTTTTACTTATTTACGTCTAATGTAAATTGCTAACCAATGCATGATCGATCATTTATATCAAATCATAAAACTAAATCAGTACCTGTTATCATATTCTATCGTTTAATTTTCTTTAATACAGATTCCTTGCATAAATTTCCTGTTCCAGAATTTGTTAAAGCAAACTTGCAGAAATTTGAAATGCTTAAAATTTGAGACAAAAATATACATTAGAGCTTTCATTTCTTAAATTGGGTTTGATCAATTTTCAAACTTCGCATTCGATTTTTAAATTTTGAAATGTTCGGCGAAGTCAGTTGTCTCAGTCGGCTGAGAGTCGCGTAGTGGTCGGCGGCGCTCGATAGAATGCGCGCGCATTCGTGCCGCAAACACGCGTACAGCGGCTTTCAGGGATGCCTGTGTTGCTATCTAGATGTCAGCTCGGTTCTCTAAGCGAAATAAAACCTTTTTGTCTTAAAATTATGACGTACTTTTATGACTATATTGTTCACGTCATTCCACTTTTGGGTCTATCGTATATTACTTAATACTGATTGTAAGACTTACAAAATCGGTTTAGGAATTTAATTCAGCACTCACAGAACTCTTCGCTAATCCGATGAAATGTCCCTAATATTTCATCCGCTCCCATTATCAAAGCGTTTCCAATGCGATCGTGAGGTAGAGCGTTTCGCGGCGACGTATTTAATCAATTCGCCAAATCGACATTCCCGCTTCAAAGAGTTCGGCAACTTCTATTAATTTCGTTTCAGTTACTAATTCGAAGCGGCGGATTCGCGGGCGGTCCACCGCCGCCTACTCCGCGCGGCCGTCAGTCCGGGTAGGCCCACCGATGAGGGTGCACGCGTGTCGCTCACCGGCCGCCAAGACGATCACGCGCCCGCGAGTGTGCGATTCGAAAAAGAAAAAGTTCGATATTTGAAAAAAAAAGTATAAACGCATTTTTTGTCTGTGGCCATTGTGAACATGAAGTGTGCGGTGGTGCTGGCAGCTTTGGTGGCGTGCGCGGGATCGGTGGACGCCGCAGCCACGAGCTGTGCCCGCTCTCAGGAATACTTCGCGAGGCACAATGTGTCAGCTGATGATAATGATGGACCAGGTGCCTGTCGAATACCTTTCATTTGTTTGGCGCGAATAGATCGTTAGAGCGCAAAATAAACAAACATTTTCGGCAAATAAACTTATAGTATCGCAATGTAACAGGCAAACTTAATTATTCATCGTGTAATGGTCTTGTCAAAAGTTCAACATACATATAATAACGTTATAAACTTAATTTACGAAACTGTCTATTTGTATTAATGATTAGAAATTTCTTATCATTTAGCTCTGAGCTATTTTATTGTTATCCTAACTTTTTTTCCAGTTTTTTAGCTTTTTCATATAATGTGGTATTTTGTTCATTGTACTTGAGAGTTGCGCGAGTTTGAGTCAAATGGATTTAAGTTTATTTTTTTTATAAATACCGCATAAACGTAACTGGTACGTCGCTGTGATATGAAGAAAGTAATATAATAACTTGCTGCGTATAAAACCTGAGCACAAACATCTCGTATTTATATAGGACCGATGTTTACGACCGTCTAGGGCTTATCAAAGACTTGTGTTTATACAATTCACAATGTAGTTGGTCCTGCCAAGAAATATCACATTCCACTGACTTCCAATGCTCGATACTAGGAGTTTAAATACCTACAATGCCTGTTTAAATATTTAATGGACTTTTAAATAACAGCCTCAGCGTATTTAAGGTCAGAAAATCGATCATCTAAATCGTGGCTCTGTGTTCGATTCCTATTTTCGAATTTGGGTATAGTAACTATTTTGAAGGTTGTTTTTACCTTGACTTTTGTTGATTTTACCTTGACATCTTGGTAGGTAAGGCGTTGTGTTGGATAAAATTTAATGAAACTGTCACTATAATCAATAATTAATAATAATCAGCCATTATTAATTTACGAACGGTTACAACCAAAGTTTGTTATTACTTTTGTTATTACGTTTATTATCGTATTTCAAATAATATTTTTACTTACGTAAGCTGTCGTTGTTTGATTAACAGTACAAAGCTTCATATTAGCTTTATCGTTTGGTGTTAAAAGTTTAATTAATTAAATGACTTTCTACAATTAGTGCTCGTTTTAGGACTAGCACAATCAATATCTGTTTTCATTTTTTGCTTATATTATTTAATTATTCTTTATGATGTAAACTTACTATCTAGGAACTAAGAGACACGCAAATGAAAGATCTAAATCGGCCTTTTAGTTTTTGAAAACATCCTTCGTAGTTCTTCCTAGTACTTGAAAGACGATAACTAAGTCTGTACGCTTGCAACAATAGTGTTGCTTTTACGGCTGAAAGCATTTCCGTCTAGGAAAGCTTATTCTATGAAGCTCCAGGCATTTTGACACTCTAATGGCAGGTCTGAATGCTTTATTAGTCTTTGCCGACATCTTCGGACATTGATGATGTAACTTCATCCGTATGTATTCCATACTTGTGGTATATTATTAAGTAGAGAGGTATCCTTGTCACACTCACTATGGTTCTAGCAATTATGTGATGCAAATGATAGATCTAAACGCCTTTTAGTCTTTTCAAATATCCCCGATTTTTGGCTTTAGTTCGTATGTACGCGCTATGTGAAGGCCCATATGCGGTGCATATACGGGTGTCGGATGTCTTGGGAGCGATGGTGTCGGATACTAGACGCACGCGCTGCGGCAAAGACAGCTGGTGGCTCTGTGGTCACCGTACACCATTCTTACTGCACATTGCGCACAAACATGGAATTATTGTGTTTTAATTTTTAATGAATTATTACGCATTTTCGTGTTATAAGCTGTTGATATGCTTAAACTATAGTAGAGTGTGTTAGAGAATTTTAGATTAATTCTATTTCTTTTACGGTACAGGGTTTATACTTGCATAAATATACTTATAGCTCATAATCTGACAGATAGGCCGAGATTAAAAATTTCTTTATTTATCAACCTGGCACATTACTGTTGCATCTTCCTCATACATGACTCTACTTTTATATTCATGTCTGTTACGGTTCGATTAAAATCGGATAAGTGTCAGTGCCTTTTTATAATGTATATTCTATCTAGAATGTATAGAGATTATATGTAAAATTTTTACTAGGCTACCTTTAAAATAATAAATGACAATAGTTCTTCGGGCATTTGTTAAAGAATGTGAAGGCTACACAAGATCGGTTCTAACTACAAATCGTCTGTTGAAATCGGCGTTTTTTTTAGTTTTTTATGACACGCCGTTTCGCTACAAGTCCGAGTGATAATCGATCTTATCGCAATAATTTAGCATCGGATAATAGAAGGAGGCGACAAGTGCATCCGTGTTCGCGAAAGCTTACGACGCTATCACGGTGACGTCAGGACGGCAGGATACATTAATATTCTGCCGCGTATCACGAACGTGTCCTGCGCAGTTGGCATTACCTGGTTGTGGGCAGAAATTCCATTTCCAGGGTTGGCAGGGGGTGATTTTTTAAGGTAGAGCCGAAAGTCGGGGCAGCTGCAGAGATATATCAATTAGTTAACATTTAATTAAAAATTGTCGCCTGTCCGGAAGTGTTTATTATGTGAACACTTTAGAGGTTCTCTGAATGTCGCACATCTGGTCAATTTTAAAACGCACCGACCAGTCAACTAAAGGATTGTTCCACAGGTCAACGACCCTTTAATTACTTTTGTTCATACAACAGTATGTTTGGAGGTAATTGTATACTTTCTGACCCTGAAATATATTTAGATAGAAAAATAATGTGGGGTCTGACTAATTAGGAGATAAGTGTCTGACGCCCTAAAATTTTAATTAACGAATTATCTCCAACTTCTCTCGCTTCGCTTAGCTCCTGGCATTCGAAGACCTACATGTTATCGTTACGTAAATGGTTATCGTTATTGTTTTATATGTTTTGTTCGAATAATTTTATATCTCACATAATATGAAAGTAATGATTAACACCAGAATTTTCTACTTATAAAATATAGTTGAACATTTTTAGAGCAAATACGAATATAAACCTTATTTATAGAATAGAATTTCTTTAACTACGTGAATTCACGAAATTATTCAATGTTATCCCATGTTTTTAACTGAAACCTTATAACAACTATTCGAAGAAGTCAGTTGACCAACAGCGTGACACTCGACCCTAGACCTTGAGCCGTCCATGAATGGAAGGAAGCGACACAACCCAATTGTGTGACGCGCTCACGTTAACTGTGCTACTGTTACAAGAATTACTAATACGGAATGATCCTTCGGCATTTAAATAGCCCGTTTAGTTTGGCTCCCAAGGAGCCCTAAATCATGCAAGGACACGAACATTTGAATATCGAACGGAATCGCTTTCCAATTCACGTTACTTTCGGGGAAAGTCACGAAAAATTAGGGAGTAAAGAACCGCTACAGAGACGAGGGGAGAGGGGGAGGTGCGGGGTGAATGGCGGCGGGTAGGCTTTGTTGCTCGCACTGGCATTCCTCTCCTGGGAACCGGGAACAGCCCCCCCCCCCTCCCCGTCATAGCCTGCTCCCTTCACCCCTGCACGCATTCCTGCCCTCTCTCACTTTCATTGTTCCTGTCGGCGCGGGAGGTCGCCGCTCCGCGTACAAATAATGGAACCAGTCGTTAAGTGGGGAGGACTAGTTGGCGCACTCCAATAAACACGCTCGGACTATCCATAAACGGCATTTAGAGCGAGCCGGCCGGCCTCTGGCGGCTGTGAAAAAGTTGGACCTTATCTCTAATCGCCCAAGAGAAACATTCGAACAATTTATTACGCTCTTTTCGATAATGTGTACCGAACAACCTCGCGATGTCGACGTTTGGTAGAGATGGTAGAGCCAGGTTGAGTTGACTAATCGGTGGGTTTGACAGTTAATAGGCGTGCTCTAAGGCGGGCTGAGGTCACCTGCGCCAGCGCCACGGCCTAATGAAAACATCCCCTAATAATAACAATGGGGCTGGTTATTATTATTGTAATTTATCTGGCGGGTCGGAGCCCGCGGGCGAGTTAGTCATCGGCGGGCGTCGGTCGAATTTTGATTCATTTTGAATGCCCGGAATGCCATTGTGACGGTGCCTACCTGCGGACGCAGGTACCGCGACATACCCGACACTTTGTTTTTAAATCTCAACGAAGTTTAGGGAAATTTAGTTTTGTATAGCGTTACTTCTTTTTTTTAGCTTTTGGCAAGGGCAAATAAAGGTGTTAACGATGGCCCGGGACTTTTACGGTCTCCTTTTGTTTTGACAAGTTGTTAAATTTCGAACTATAAAACGAATGTTTTCTTTTTAGTATTGCATCACCGCCCAGCATCGAAGTTCAATTTGGAAGTGATATAATTAATTTTTTTTTGTATGATCCATACAATATGCGAACTATTTCAATAAAAGATTGTAATAAAGTTAGTATACGTTTTATCGCATATGTATCTAACTTCAAACGCTTTCAATATAATACAGCATTAATAGTCACAGGCCTGACCGAGATGCTTGAACTTGAGTATAACTTAAATATATTTTGCCAAAAAACATTTACTACTGACCTTAAGTCTAAATAATTGAAGATAATATCCATCGGACAGGTTTATTTTACATAAATTCTACTTTATACATACTATATTATTAATGTTTTAATGTATTGGGAATAGCATACTAATACAATATTTATTTCGCTTTTACTTTTCATTGTAAACTTTGAGTTCCTGACGACGCTTCTAGCGCTTTGCAGTAGGCTTACGAGGGATGACCTCAGTTAAAAGAAACGACGAGCATCTCGTATTACAGTTTGAATTATACCCGAAGTCACCCCTTTCGGGATATGATTCATTAGTCCCGAAATCACGTTTATCGCTGTTAAAAAAAACAACGTAGCTGCCAGCCCTCTAGGTTTCAAATAAAACCTTTGTGAACGCTCTTTTTAATCGATGAAGATGCTGAAATAAAACTTCCATGTTGTACACTCATAACTTCAATAAAAATAAAATCGTGACTTAATAGTACGTCTCAAAAAATTCATATGTTATTAATTGATTCTAATTTTGCTTCTTTTGTTATTAAAATAGTATTAACCGTAATTTAATGAATCTTCAATTCTCAAGATTGGGCCTTTTCGTAGGTGACTAAGAAGTTATTATCAAGTGAAACCCTTGTTCCGTGGTTTTATGTCGAAAATTAATTAATGTGTTCATCATTTAGCAACTGCTGACAGACGGTCTGTAAATTTTTTTTTCTGACAATACAACGTTACTTATAGTCTTCCCCGACCGGGGAAGTGCCACGATCTCACAGAAGACCGGCGCGACGTGGAAGATACATATTTCTGTGTTTCATCTGGTGTGTAAGGTAGCCGGGGCCCACTTGATTGAAAATGCATCCGTGGGTTTTCATGGTTTTCACTTAAAATCAGGTGATTCGGCAACTTTTTTAAATTAAAGAAATGTTGTTTCTGATAAATGCTACCAAAAGTACGTGTGAATCGTGGCGCATTTCACGCACATCGAATCTCTGTGTCATGTAAGAAAGTAATCCAATTAGTTGCGCGTCGGTTAAAGAAGTTATCTCACGGGGGCTCCGAAGCGGAATTCCATTAGACTGATGCTAGATCAATGTCCGGGATAGCGATAGAGTTTGACCGATCCGCTCTGAGTGGAGAATTAATTAATGCGAGATAACATCCGGCTAATTGTGCAACTAGTTTCGCAACGCGTGCTAGGTCCTGGTCTGGTATCGGTGGGTTATCTCGGTGGGGCGCGAACCCAGTGTGGGGTATCTTGCAACGTGCGAAATGCAGTCGATGATAACTGATGTCGCCTAGCGGTACACCGTAGATAAATTTGCCGAAATCGGAAGGTGATAAATGACCCCAACAAACGGTACGAAAACTGCTCTATGAACTAACTATCACAATTTCTTTTTACGATTAAGGCAACGTGGTATATTATTATACAAAATATGGTTAACACTAGAAGTAGTTCATTAAAGTTTATATTTACGCAATGGTTAATGATTAATAAATCATTTTAGTCACTCATTCAATCAAATTGCCATTTTAAGATTCGTTATAAACAATCTTTACTCTGCGAAACGATTGAATATTATCAACGTAATTTTTTTTTTCTTTTATTCTTCTCCAAAGGGATCCAAATTTTCGCTTCACGTATTATTGTATATCAGTATGTAGAGACGTTTTTCGTATTTTCAAAGAATGATTGATAATAACGTAAAGTAATCAACTCATGATTACTTTAAGTTATTTTAAATTTATCCAGGAGTTATTTAGTGTATATCCTTGCAAGTATAGGGCAACCTTACCTTTGTTAGGTAAAATGATATAAGTTCTGAAACCTGAACAGTAGACATTCACAGCGCACCGGTGTACTATAAAAAATTTTAATGCGGCATAAACGAAGCGAGATATATCGAGCCGAAGATGTCATCAAATAAATCTATTTATTTACAAACGAAAGCGAATGGTCGCGTTTAAAATTAAAAAAAGTTACACGAATCGTCCATTAATAATAACCAAGATTAATTGCAACAAGTGATAAAATGTAAATAGATTGAGAAATTGTAAACTTGGCACATTCGTGATGTTAAATCGGTTACGAGGCGGTGTGTAATAACGAGGGATTTTCGTAGCCCCCCCCCCCTGCCCCTGAACCCCTCTGGGAATCGAATGGAAGGGCGCCGCTGTTACCTGTCGCAGACAGGTTTAAATATTTAATAAAAAAAGTTATTCTGTTTTCAGTAAAGCTCCGAATATGTAAGGGAGACTTTTTTATCCTTTATTATTGCGTTGAAACCCTAACATGTTATATTTTGAAAAAAATTACTTTAAAATAAAATGACGCATTATTTATGAATGATACGGAATTTTTTAAAAAGTCTTAAAGGAAGTGGACACTTTTTTAATAGTTAAGTTTTGAATATGCAGATGTGCGTAGTTGTATGAGAACTATTTTATTGGAAAACGCCTCAAAATTGGTTGTGACTTTTATCCTGATGATATTGAATATAAAAATTATTTGTTTAGTGTTCATGGAAATTCAAACCAGCAACATTCAAATTATAAGTAAAATGGGTTAATACTCTACGAATTACTTTTGTATTTTCTGTGAGAAATTGAAGCGTATTTATTTTTAAGAGCATTTGGGAACTTGTTAGGTTTCGGGTATTATATTTAGCGGAGGATACACCTGCTTCGGCAGACGAGGCCGTTTTCTCAGAACGAGTATTACTGTACTCGTGAACATATTTAATCCTAATATCAGGTAGGGTATATATCCTACCTGATATTTGGATTAAATTTGTTCACACCGACACACTAAGTAATTGACAGCGATGTACTAAATAAATGATAGGATACTTGTACTCTGAACTGGGTTCTGAATAGATAAGTAGATTTTAATTAAAAGTATTTATTTAGTTCCTACACGATATCTCAATTTATCTATGTATGTAAATAAATAGACATATTAATGAAAAGATAGAGTTCTGTCGTCATGGTCGCATCGCGGAAAAACTACAGGATAAATTTCAATTTGTTGTTTTTCTAATAGATATAAAAACACTTAGTTTTTATATCTATTTTATGTATTCATTAACAAAACAAAAGTTTATTTATCAGTTACCTAGTAAACATATTATAAGCGTTGTTTAATTTGGAACTAGATAACGTTGTGTAAATATATGCCCTAAAATATTTATTTATTAATTATTTTAATTCTTCTGTCTTATTTCTTAGAGACTTGACCCTAATCTAAAAAAAAGTTATGATATCTTCATTTAATATACAGTTAATAATGTTTTAAGAAACGACGATTTCTATAAGTAATACGTGTCCAGTCATTTTTCTTCTACATAAAAATACATGTATATATATATATATATATATATATATATATATATATATATATATATATATATATATATAAAAATGAATCGCTGAATGTGTTGCACAAATCTCGAGAACAACTGAACTGATTCTTTTCTTCACTAATTCTTTTATTATATATTATTATATTTATAATATTCCTTGAAGTATGAGGATGGTTCTTACGGAGAAATGGTTATTACTGAAAAAGTCTAAAAACAACACTTTTCTATATTCCCTTACAAAAGATTCGTAATAATACTTAAAAGTCAATTTGAACTTTAATACCATACTATAAAGTTTAAGTGTCATTGTAGTAACCGACTGTGGTAAAATGTCACATGAAATATAAACGTCTCTTTGCTGTGCATCACTACATAGTATAAAACAAAGTCGTCCCGCTGTCCGTCTGTCCTTGTGTATGCTTAGATCTTTAAAACTACGCAACGGATCTTGATGCGGATTTTTTTACTAAATAGAGTGATTCAAGAGGAAGGTTCATATGTACAATACATTGCACCCGTGCGAAGCCAGGGCGGGTCGCTAGTTGTTAATATAATAAGTAACGTAGACGCAGACGCAGGTATCGGCTAGTACCTGATATATTTATATAGAAAATATGTTCAGATAAAATATAAAGTTTTTCTTTCAATCTCTATTGGCAAAAGGAGCACAAATAGAAACCCTTCCCCGCCGGAGCCTAGGATCGGGATTATTTACATCCCAGGGGAGGGCATGAAATTTTAGACCTT